CATTCAGGTATTTTAGCATCCGTCCCACTCCGAGTTTCGTGGGAACGTATAGCCAGCTTGTTCCCATGTCGTCAAATTCGGGTTTGTATACGCATTGATATGACTATAAAGTATTTATTAGCACTTTGAACATTTCAAGGCAGTCTAGACGTACGCGTTGATATAGTCTTCGGTTGGGTGATGATCTGGACTGCAACTGTAGTCCTCATTGCCTTCTCGTTGGTACACTCGGACATAGTCCACCCACATCTCTGCAGGGAATTTTAGCTTTGAAAAGTCTTGCCCTTGGAAACCAGGCGACATTCCAAAGTTGAGAACGAGATACTGCGTAGGGTTAAGCGAGGGGTCGAAAATGTCAACTTAAACACATACCATGGGCTCTTCGGGTATCAAACGTTGACCAATTTTGACTTGGTCATTTGGTGCCAATGAAGCCGTTGTCGCTGTCCAACTCTTGACTCCACCAGACTGCCAGGTCACATATCCATCGTCACCTCTGCTCGGCCAATACTCAAACCCGTAGGTGTCGAATTTTTGGCCAGTACCAACATAGGCCTGAGAATCTATGTAGGTGAGAGCTGATAATGCCTGCTGGAACACGCCTCCTTTGTAGGTGTTCCACACAGTTCTGGTGCCGTCATAGACCGTGGTAGCAGGCTCTGTAGTTGGAAAGTCGTACCCATAATCGAACGGTGCAATCTGAAGAGACTGTGAACCTTGTCCTTGTTCAGTCAAGATCTCGATCTGTGCCTCCAGGATATCGATTTCAGGAGCAGAGCGGCCAACGTTATGTTTTGGTCCAGGATGGTCCGAGCCCTGACAAGTACAGGCGGAAAGTCGTTGTCCGGGCAAGAAAGAAATTGGACCGTCATGGAAGTAGTTGCCTGTAGCTGCGGTTTCAGGATTTCCATTGTGGTCGGTTTGGTTGGGGAAGGTGCCCAAGTCGCAAGTGTCATACGAATATGGCCACATTCCCTCGGTGGTGGCACCATAACCGGCTCGCCCGAGGTTGCCCTTTAACAAACATTATACTTCTGAGGCTCATCCAATAAGAATTGGCTTACCATTGTCCAGGCACCTGGCCAGAATCCTGGTGCGTCCGGCGATCCTGGTAAAGAGATGGAAACTTCAATGTATCCTCCAGTAAAGCAGAACTTGTTCCACGTTTGAATCATTCCTAGTACTTTGTGAACAAATGACAGCTGGTGCCGTTACGTATACGCACCTGATTTGAAATTCATGTCATGGTTCTCTTCCTAATCAACAATAAGACGCTGGCTATTACTGGCCTAGAGAATAAACCTACCTGCACCATGTGGAAAACCAAATGTCCATTCTCAGTAGTGACTTGGCCGGGATCATACCATTCGATATCTTCGGTCGGCCAGTAATGGAAGTCCATGGCCTCCCAGAACGGATCGTCTACAAAGCCCCATAAGCTTACGCGCGCTTGTGAAATGCGGACTGCCTACCTCCGGGGTAAAAGGACCGACCATCGGTATTAAATTCGTCAGAAAAAACTGCAAAAAAGTCAGCAATGGATTAGTAACGATATAAACAGGGCGCAGACCGAGGTTGTATTTATGGCCATCGAAGCCTGTCCGTGTATAGGCATCTTGCGGCGTCTCTTTGTCGATCCTCGAGGGTACGTTAGGAAGATCTGGGACTTGTCCAGTATAGTTTATTCCACCCAGATTGAACCCGTTGCGCTCCCAAGCTTTCCGCGTGTAGTAGGAGATAATAGGATAGCCACAGAAGAGTGTAATGAGGCCAACGAGAAGGATGAATAATGTGATATAATTCGCCCAACCACGTCCACTCCATAAAGTCCATGACTCATCTTGTATCCGGTTTTGTTTTGGATCAGGACTATTTTTGGGGAGTTACCGTGAGCCTCGGGATGCAACATGGCCACCACATGCTAAACGTACTTGTGCAGAGCATCATCCAAATCAGGATCTCGACTATCCCACAGATAAGCTGGTGCTCCTATTGTTGTTGTTTTACCAGGATGTCCTATAGGAAGGGGCTTCTCGGCATGGGACGCATCAGACGCGCCTGAGCTGAACCGACCATTGCCGCCTGTTTCACGCGTCGCCCCCTGATTATACTATGTAAAAGCCATGTTGTCAGCAGATATTCAGCATACGATGATTTGGAAGAGGATTGTCGCGTCGTATAGGGCTAATCGATGGATTCAACTTACGGTGTAGGGGCCGTAGCCACCCCCTATCTCTCCAGTTTGGACACCGTGATGTGTTACACTCTCAGTGTGGGGTGGAGATGCAGGGTCTTCGTAGCTGGAGTCAACCGAGATGGTGCGCGCATGGCGGTGATAATAGTCATTGTTGATCAGCGGCTGAGTGCTTGGGTAGCCCTGATAAGCCGCGTTGGGAGTCTGAGGATAGTTTGGAGGTACTCGACGTCCAGGACCGCTCATGATGCTGGAAGGCGGGAGGGTGTTGAGGTTCAAGTTGAGGCGCGACTCTAGGACGTCAGTGCTGTGCTTCCATTCGCTCCTACTCTTTGCCCGACGCTCTTTTCGAGCATTTGCCGACCACTCTTAAAATTCCTCGAGAAATCATAATCCATAAATCAAGCATTATTTGTCATTTTCGACATAATTCTCGTTTCACCCCTCTCGAGTTTCCTTTAAAAAACATCGATTCTCTCAAGCCTCCAACTAATTATTTGGCCAACTTCAGCCGTAGAAATGTACCGACAGGCGCTTTCTAAACCAATTCGTAAGCTCCAAGGAATCTTTTCGGACCTTGCTACTAAATCGTTTAATAGAACGTTGTACCGTTGGAATGTCGAGACGAACAGTTCCATGCCTCTCACGGGCATACGCAACAAACCCCAGTGATGCTACGAGTTCAGAGACGACCCATTTTGGTTATAGGGACGTACCCAAAGCGGAGAAAGAGACTCTAGGTTCGTTTTTACGCTGGGAATATTCTGTTCAAGTGTTTTCTGACCATCTTTGACAGTCAAGGAAGTCTTTTCGTCTGTGGCGTCGAAATATGATGTTATGAATGATGCTATGTCTATGGGTGTCCACCGTCTATGGAAAGACGAGTTTGTATCTCTGCTAAAGCCTGGAAGTGCGAGACTCGGCAAAGTCACCAAGTGTATCGACGTAGCTGGAGGAACTGGAGATATTGCATTGAGGATTCTCGACTATGCTCGGGAAAAGAAGGCTGATCGCGATTTGACGGTAGACCTGGTCGATATCAACCCCGAAATGCTCAAAGAGGGGCAAAAACGGTTCCGAAAGACAATGTATCATGGCAGTAAGTCCCACCTCATTCAGGTATTTTAGCATCCGTCCCACTCCGAGTTTCGTGGGAACGTATAGCCAGCTTGTTCCCATGTCGTCAAAT